GTCATTCTACTCTCTGTCTCTAGATCAACTGTTCTTAATATTTAGCTCCCACATGAGTGAGAACATGCCAGATTTGTCTTTCTGTGCATATTTCACTTAATGTAATGTTCTCCAGTTCTACCCATATTGTTGTAAATGGCAGGATTTCATTCTTTTGTGGCTATATAATATTCCATTGTATATATGTACCATGATTTCTTTATCCATTCATCCACTGATGGACACTTAGGTTGATTATAAATCTTGGCCATTGTGAATAATGCTGCAATAAACATTGGAGTGCAGATATATTTTCAATATACTGATTTCCCCTCCTTTGGGTAAATACCCAGCAGTGGGATTGCTGGGTCATATGGTAGTTCTATTTTTAGTTCTTGAAGAACCTCCATACTGTTCTCTATGGTGGTTTCACTAATTTAAGTTCCTACCAACAGTGTATAAGGAGTCCCCTTTCTCCACATCCTTGCCGGCATACATACATACATACACACTTGTATCATAATATAAAACATTTTACTAAAGTCTTGTATTCATAGCAGATACCCCAACCAGCACATAAGATCCTCAAGTGTGGGGTCCAGATCGCCTTATGACTAGGTATCCATCTTTCACTTATTCAAATAACTGAGACTCTGCCCAACTCTTACCATGTTTTCTTTCCCTCATAATTCAGTTCATCTAGATCTTACGCCTTTCCCTGTTCCTTTATCTGCCTCTCTCACCACCTCATTTGAGACCAAAGTCCAATCCCTGGTCAGCTAATCTCCTTTCTTTTTTATCTGAACTTCCTCAACCTGCCTGATCTGACCCTTCCTACCCCACCATTTCCTGGATATGATCATTTAGATAATACCACAAGTATTAATACATCAGAGAGTATTAAACCAAATAGATTAATATGACTAATGAAATACAAACTACTTAATACCAGAGTCATTTCCATAGTATAGGCAAAAATGATGACATCGAGATTAATAAGGCAATTCAAATCAAGAGAGCACCTCACCTATCTACTAATCAATCTCTTCACATTTTTAAATTGTCTCACCTTGGGTCATAAACTTGGGTTACAATCACAATTCTAGCTTGTTCCATTTTCTATACAAGCACACAAAACTAACCCATGCTTTGTAGAAGAAAGGGTTTGTAATACTTGTACTCCTTCATTACCTTGGATATTTACTCTGAATTGTTTTTTTAAAAGTAGTGTATCTGTTGAGCTACAATAGTATCTTTCCTGCTGTTTTCTTATACCTAATTACATGTGATGGCAATATGACTGGCAGAGTATAGGAATACTAGCTACATCCCACAGCACTTAGTAGTTACATTGTTGGGTACTGGTTGTAATCGTCCCAACCAGTAAAGAACTAGTCAAGGGCCTTACGAGGGCCCAAATCCGCAATCTGAGGTCCTACTAGCACCTCTCTAATTTCTGAGCACAGCAAGCCTAAGTACCTTATCATTAATCTAGACTATTCTTAAAATAAATACATGATCTGCTATTAAGAAATAGAAGTATACAATAAATGCTTTGCTTTCATGATCTGTCTTCACAGTGATATTTTTTCTAAAGCAAAAATTATCTTAATTATGGGTACTGCAAATTGAATTGTTTCCCTAAAGAAGAAATAACAAACAGTATCAGTTAGAGACAGAGCACTTCTAATCATGTGGATTGACATACATCACTTGATATACAGGTCTTACTGGATTACTAAAAGGCCAAGTATCTCACCTCAGAACCACATAGTGAGATGTAGTTGGTGATTTGCACTCTCTCACCATGTCTTCCATCCTACTCCAACCTGTAGAGCTGTATTACTTTCTGTCTCTTTGTTGCTGGGTCCTTTCCCCACTGCTGTCAATTCTGGTGCTCCATCACTGTTACTGATCTCCCTTGCCATTCTCCATCTGGCCACATCAAAATTCCATACTACTATCCAACACATCTTTTCTCTATTCCACCATCATTTCTGGCCCCTCTGTTTTCTGCTCTTCACAGCTACCAAACAAAAGAGACCTATTGCACAAGCACAGTCAGCCAATCACTGCACTCCTTTCCTTCTGATTAAAACAAACAAACAAACAAATAAACAAAAAAATCAAAGCAGGTCAAGATAATCTTTGGCTTTTCCGAACTGTTTGCATCATAATCTGATACCAAACGGTTCATTTACTGTTACAAAAGATGCTTTATGGTTACTTTTATTTCTAAGTTTGGAGTTACTGCAGATACCTAGTCTATAGAGAATTGAGGGTTTTTACAATTATAGTATTAAAGGGTTAAAAAAACAATAACAAAAAAGACATGGTAGCTGCATTCTTAACACTTAAAAAAATCCACCAAATAAATCTCCAAAACTTTATATTAAAATTAGATCTTAAAATAAATTAACAGAACCCCAAAGAAGACATACCAATGGCCGAAAAGCACATAAAAAGATGCTTAACATCACCAATCATTAGGGAAATGTAAATAAAAACCACAAGGAAACACCACTTTACACCCATTAGGATGGCTCTTATCAAAAACAAAAAAGAATATGTTTGGCAATGATGTGGAAAAATGTTGATGAAGATGTGGAGAAATTTGGACCCCTGTGCAATCCTCGTGAGAATGTAAAATGGGGTAGCCACTATGGAAAAAAGTATGGCAATTCCTCAAAAAACTAAATATAGAATTACCATATAATCTAGCAATTTCACTTCTGGGGAGATACCCAAAAGAAATGAAATCTAGGACTCAAACAGATATTTGCACACTCATGTCCATAGCAGCATTATTCACAATAGCCAAAAGGTGGAAGCAACCCAAGTGTCCATAAATGAATAAATGGATAAACGAAATATAGCAATTGATTATTATATTTAGCCTTAAAAAGAGAGGACATTCTGAAACATGCTATAACATGGATGAACCTTGAAGACATTATACTAAGTGAAATAAGCCAGTCACTAGAGGACAAAGATCACATGAATATACTTATAAAAGGTACCTTAGAGTAGTCAAATTCATAGAGACAGAAAGCAGATTGGTAGTTTCCAGGTGCTCAGAGTAGCAAAGAATATGGAGTTAGTGTTTAATAGGTACAAAAGTTTAGTTGGGGAGGATGAAAAAATTCTGGAGATGAATGGTAGTGATGGTTGCACAGCAATGTGAATGTGCTCAATGTTACTAAACTGTACACTTAAAGATGGTTATTACGGTAAGTTTTATGTTATATATATTTTACTACAATAAAAAAGAAGAAAAGTAAAGTTGACAGGCAGAGAAGTGCTTGCTATTTAGTTATAAATGACTACTGTGCAAACCCAATCTGACTCTAAAACCAAAGACAGCACAGGTTATATACAATTAAGTAAACGGTGCTTAATTTTCTTAGAGCTCAATAAAGAGCATGGAAACACCTCTACATATCATTAGATACCAGATTCTTCTCACACAGGTCTGTCTGGGAAAGCTGAGAAAAATAGGCTGTCAATAAATAAAATCCCATATGCACACACCATATCACTGAATAAATATCTATTCTCAAGATTTTTAAACCCTAATATCTCCATGCTTATATCCCTGCTATTCCAAAATATACCAAAACATGCTCCTGCCTCAGTGCCAGCCCAATTCAATGCCTACATATCTGCAGAGCTCACTCCCTCACTTCATTCAATGTCCCCTTATCAGAGAGGCTGAGCTTGATCATTCTTTCTAAAATAGCATCCTCCATCATTCCCTCTCCTCTTAAATTGCTTTACTTTTCTTCATAGCTCTTACCACTACTTGTTAATTATCCTTCTCCACTGACTACAATGAAAACTTCAGGAGCACAAGGTCTTTCTGTTTTGTTCATTACTATCTTCCCAGCACTTGGAATGCTACCTGGCACACTGAAGGTAGCTAGTAAATATTGGCTAAATGAATGAATAGATGGATGCTCATGGCTTCATAGATCATAGTTCCCTCTTGGCAGCCACCACAGCCTCAAAGTCATCCAGAGCATCCCTAACCCTTCAGTGTAGGCTTCACTAGCTAAGTGGAAGATCTAGTTTAAATATCTGAAAGAAGCCTGGTACTAGCAATGACACTGAGACCTTAACTAACATGTCAAAAAAATGCTCCCTGACTCAGTTTCTAAATACACTAAATGAACACAGCATATCTGCCCCTCACAATGTGTGATAAAGAATATACCTTGATACTGCCTTAAGACAAAAAGATGCCATATACTGCATACCAAACACCACACTGCACCTATTTCAATAAACACTACTAGGCACTTGCAGACAAAAACTACAGAATTTTCCCTCTACAACTTTTCTGAGACTTTGTAGGAAATGGACAAATGGACGATGTATGTCATTAAATAATTTAGCAGAAACTTAAGTAACCACTTACTTGGCCCAATAGATACATATTCTGGAGCAGTAGGAAAATATGTTAAATTATCTGGATGTGGGAGAGAGAAGACTACTACTTAACTTTATTTTCAAAGTCAAAAGTATTCAACTCAGAATTCATACAGCATCCCAGGGAAACGTCCCACAGGCGCCCATGCATGTTACAAGTTTTGAGAGCATTTTACAACTGCACTTTATCCGTCTGCAGTGGATGACTTCTGGTTGCCAAGTGATAACTCTCTTTTGTAGAAAATAATCTTTAGCCAAAGACCCTCAGTATGTCCCCTCCCGACAAAGAGGAGGAGGGCCCATTACTCTAAGGTCTCTAGGAGCAACCAGAACCCCACACGCCCAGATATAAGGAGAGTCATCCTGGGAACACACGTCCCGCTCCCGCCATAGGAGTGGAAATGGCCGGTGGAACCTGCCCATCAGCGGGGTCCCGGACACAGATCAGAGGTGTCCGCTGTGAACGTTTCTGACAGCCTCGGGTCCAGGGGCCAGAGACCCCTCCGCCCGAGACCGACGCAGGCCAGCCCCCTCCTCCGATTTCGACCCAGGCCTGCCCCCGGAGCTCACATCCCCGCAAACGCAGGTCCTACCTGAGCTCTGCCCCCAGCTACAGGGCTGAGGGGGTAGGCGGGAGGAGGCGTGGCCTTCCAGCTCGCCAGTCGAACTCCCTCGTGCGTTTGTTATGACTTTCTCTCTCGGGATCCGCGCCCCGACCAAGTTCGAGTTGCACTTCCGGGGTCTGCAGGAGACTGAAACGTCAATACGCATGCGACGGCGCAGCGGCGACAACCCGGAAGTGGGCGGGGCGGGGCTCCTGGCCCTGTTCCCGCAGTGCTAGGTGGGCTGGGAGAGGTGGCCGTGTGGGTTAAGGGCGGTCTTCTTCTTTACTGGCGGGTACTGCTCGCCCGTCCTTCTAAAGGCTGCGTTGGTAACCTTAGAGAAAGAGGCCGTCCTGAAGCCTTGTTCTCCAAGCGGGTATTTTAAAATCATTCTAGGGATGTCTTACAGCGATTTCCTCACTCCTCTACTCTTGGTTTACCCGGCTTTACCCTGCCCATTCAACTCCAGTAAAGCAAGGATGTTTATATTTGAAAGATTAAATTTACCTCTAAATTATGACATGTAAAATAGGAAAGTAATACTAGCATCCTAATAACAATTGAAAGTTTTCTCGTTAACCATGCATAACTCAAATGGGAATCTTAATGAGTGTAATGTTCTGTTTTTCCAGAAACAGGTTTGAAAGGGTGGATCCAGGACAAGAAATGGGGGCAACTAATTTTTGGTTTTTAGATGCATTTATTCCAGTCATTCCACAACTGTTAATTTAATGAATAAAGTTGACCAAGGTGCTGGGGACACTTAAGTTCCTGAGTTAGATATTGTCTACCCCTTAAGCAGCTAAGGGGGATGAAGGTTTGGTGACTGACAAGTAAACTCAACAGTTTTAATATTCTTCAGAGAGGAGATCCCAGACTACTCTGAAGTATAAGTCACTTCCACATTATTTGTACTTTTTAACCTCAGTTCCTTACGTGTTTGCTTCACAACAAAGTACAGTGTTATCCATTAATTTATTTGCAAGTGGCCCCTGCCCCACTAAAATGTAAATTCAATGAGGGCAGTGACCTTCTCTTGTCTTTTTTTTTTTTTTTGAGACAGAGTCTCCCTTTGTTGACCAGGCTAGAGTGAGTGCCCTGGCATCAGCCTAGCTCACAGCAACCTCAAACTCCTGGGCTCAAGCAATCCTGCTGCCTCAGCCTCCTGAGTAGCTGGGACTACAGGCATGCGCCACCACGCCTGGCTGATGTTTTCTGTATATATTAGTTGGCCAATTAAATTCTTTCTATTTATAGAAGAGACAGGTCTTGCTCTTGCTTAGGCTGGTTTCAAACTCCTGACCTCAAGCAATCCGCCCGCCTAGGCCTCCCAGAGTGCTAGGTTCTCTTGTCTTTTAAACATACCCTCAACCATACCACAGTGCATGTCCACAAAGTGGACAATAAATACTTGTTGAATCAATAAATGACCATATGGTAAATACTAGATTAGAGAAATTTAGAAAAGTGTATGGGATAAGAGGTAAGGGGTGTGAGTAGTAAGAGAGGAGAGCAGTGTTCTTGAGGGAAAAAAAGAATCCACTGGACTTAGCCAGAAATGAATGCCTGGATGGAGCCATGACATTGCAAGACTGTTAGGACTTTGTTTCTGGCTTCATTTCTGGCTAGAACTCATATCATTTGTAGGGTTATACTTTAGACTCAAGAGGAAGGCAACAGTCACATTTTGAAAAGCTTTGTATGCCATGCTGAGTAATTTGAATTTTGTTCTGCAAACAATCAGGACAACTGAAGTATTGCTAAACAGAGGAGTGAAAAGAAACATTTTTATTTTGGTAGAATCTGGCAATGGTGGTGGAGTTTATTAAAAAGATACGGCTGCCCAAAATTTATAATCCCAGTTTATCCATGGGGAAAACGTCAGATAAAATACCTGACCAGCACTCCTTAAAACAGTCAAGGTAATGAAAAACAAGAAACATCTGAGAAACTGTCTGAGTTTAAAGGAACCTGTCAAAGCCAAGAGAAGCCTAAAGAGACTATCTTTAATGTGGGATCCTGGAACAGAAAAAGAACATAAGTGGGAAAACTAGTGGAATATGAATAAAAAGTGTAAAGTTTAGTTAATAGAATGTACCAATGTTGATACAAAACATGGAAACTGGACAAAAGATGAGTGACATGATCTTTCAATGTTTACAGGATAGAGGGCCACTCAAGGATTAGGGAAGTGTACTTTGTTCAGCAGTAAACTGTTTACTGTTGGAAAAACATATGGGTGTTTCAAACAACAACTCCAGCAAGACCCACACCGGAATGAATGAACCTTCAGATTATTCTAATCCCTGAGTCTTTTAGCTGGGGTTCCAAATTTTATAAAGCAAAGACAAGCCATCCCCTACTATATTCCATTTTAAATTCCTGACCCAGAGAAGCAATTAGAGGTTATGAAAATCATTGTTGTTATTTTAAGCCAGTAAATTCTGGAGTGATTTGCTATTTGGCAACATAAGCTAATACACTGTATAACAACAACCAATGTACAATTATTCTTTCAAGTCCAGTCTTGCCTAACATGTCAAAATCAAGAATGAGAAGATTACATGATGAAACAGAATGAGTCCCTTTCTCCCCTCACTCTACCCTGAATGGTAGCGCAGACTTGGCTAGCCATAAAAAATGTCTTCTACAAATTTGTAAGGAGAAATGAGGAAAAGCAACAACAATTGTTGTGTGTGGGCTTAGCTGTTTGTTAGAATTATAGCAGCCCTTGTGTGGCTTAGCAGAAACCATTACAATGATGACTACATATATCGTGCAATGTTTCCCCTCATTTCAACCACAGTCATCTAAATTGTACAAGCTAGTTTGTTCATTTATGGTTTTAATTTATATATCTCCAGAGAAACCAGAAGCTCCAGTTTCTCTCCCCACCCCTCTTCTCTTGCACTTTAACATTTGAGATAAAGAAAAAGGAAAGGAGACTTCATGCTTCTTGGGTAACAACTGGTCCATCTTTGATCACTGGGATCAATCTACCCTTAATCTTCACACAAATGATCTCAGTGACACACAGCAGATGGACCCCCACAAACATACTATCAAGACTACGTGTTGTTTATTTAAGTTAAAGATACAATTTAAACCCACTTATGACTAGACTTGGCTCCAACATTTAGGCAGCTAAGACAAATTCCTTATGGAAAACATTTTTGGTTCGTTAGATGCTAAGGGCAAAGCTGTGTCCATACTAACTGACTCTATAGGGGTGAAGTCTGGATTTTCATTTAAATTTGGAGAATTAGGTAACATTCTTACCCTTACCCAAGTCCAGCAGGTATGTGCTGTGGTTTGAAGGTGTCACCCAAAAGTTCATGTGTTGGAAGCTTTATTGCTATTATTATAGTATTAAGAGGTAGGGCCTTAAAGGGATAATTAGGCCCTGAGGGCTCTACCCTCAAGAGGGAATTAACGCTGTTTTTGTGGAATGTGTTAGTTATCACAGGAATGGGCTTCTGATAAAGCAGCAGAAAATGGACTAAAAAGAATGTAGAAGTGTGGCACAGTAATTACCAAATTCTGCTTTTTAGGGTCCATTTATATTCAAAGCCCAAGAAAGTAGGACCACAGAATCTAACCATTTCTAATGGCTCCTCCAACAATATGATTATTACTTGAAATCAACCTCCTATCGTTCTACTTTCCATCTATGTACCTGGATTTTTTTAATGAGAAAAAATAAAATATCAATGTTTCAAACATACTTTAAGAGAGTTTTACATTTAAAAAAGTAAAATAGCCTCTATTTTGTTGTGGTGACAATTCAGTTTGTAGCTTTATATATTTACCCAGAGTTAGAAAAACTACAAGGTTTGAGAGCACAGTTACCTAAGCTTCTCTCATTTCTTACATCAACTACAAGTTTAGGGGTTCCCCCAAATACCCTCAGGTTTGAAAATGTTGTGGAAGGTCTCAAAGAGCACACTGAAAGCTGTTATACTCACAGTTTATTACGAGGAAAGGATACAGATTAACATTAGCCAAGGGAGGAGGCACATAGGACGGAGTCCAGGAGGGTACCACACACAGAGCTTTTGTTATGCTCTCCCAGTGGAGTCAGGAACATGTTACCCTCACAACATCCCTGTGTGACAATATGCATCAGAGTATTGGCAACTGGGGAAGCTCAATAGAGATTTACCATTCAGAATTTTTACTGGACCTCCATCACAGAGACTTAATTGATTGATTAATTGCCTCAGCCTATAGGTCAAATGATATCACATGACCCAAAGCCTCCACTCTAAGTCACATGATTGGTCTTTCCGGCACGGGAAGCCTCTATCCTATTAGACATGGTTAGTCTCTACTCTAAACAAAGATACTTCTATCAGATATGACATAGATTATCTCCCAGAATCTGAGGCCACAGGCCAGAACGCTATTTGGGAAAGGGCAGATTCTTTACTACACAATATTTGGCCAGCACTTCTGCATAAGTTTTATTTGGATGGGAGCTTGTAGGCAAAAGAAAAGAGAAATGGTAATTAAGTCGCTGGGAGACTATCTAAATCATCAGGAAAAGGCAACTGGTTTGAATCAGTACAGAGATAAGTTTTCTTCCATTTAGCCCCACAGAGCCTTTCCATTTTCTACTCAGTGTATCTCCTTTAAACTTTTTCTTACCATTCCTTCATGGAAAGGGAGGAGAAAATGGTGTGTGCTTTCCTGTTGAGAAAACAACAAAAAGGGACTACTTAAAGGATAGCATCCCTGACCCTGCTCTTTTTCCTATCCCTTAAATATAGTGATAAGATACATTAGAAAACAGCTTTGCATCCCTAACAGGTGTGGTCCTAAACTCAGCCTTCATGACAAAAATCATCATAATAAAATTAACCATGAAAATCTCTGAAATAGTCCACAAAGTACAGAATACATAACATTATATGCATGTATTCTAGATCCTTTATTCTTATGTACATTTGAATGTGAGAATCCCAAACTAGGTTAAATATTAGAACAAAAGGAAAGTTTTTGTGCAGATATCTGGGAATTTTTTTTTTTTTTTTTTTTTTTTTGAGACAGAGTCTCGCTTTGTTGCCCAGGCTAGAGTGAGTGCCGTGGCGTCAGCCTAGCTCACAGCAACCTCAAACTCCTGGGCTCAAGCAATCCTGCTGCCTCAGCCTCC